GATCCTGAGTTTTTACACTCATACATAACATAAACTGACCTTTCAGGCTTTGTTCAAATATTCTAATTTCTTATCAGGTGCATCTATGTGGATGCCTGCCATCTCCAATGTTGAAATCATCTCCCCCAGCCATTCCTCCATGAAAGAAAGAAAGAATTCTTCTACTTCACACAGAAACTAGATAGATTATCACAATATTGCACGACTCTTCCTTCTGACTCTGGCCTATTCCTACTAAGCAGTCAACCACATCACCTCCATGTTACCATTTTTATATCAATTTTGATTATGGTCCTTCACTACAAGATCAAGTCCAAAGGCTTCAACCTGCTGTAACTTAGCTTTCCATTTGTTTTTTAGCCTTACCTCCTTTGACACTTCTATATGAATTCTGAGTGTAGTCAATTTAGTCTATTTAACAGCCCGTAAATGTACTCCATGCATTTTGCATGCCACTTCCTGGAAGACTTTGTCCTCCGGATTCTTTAAGGTTCTTATTAAACTTCACCCCTTCCCTCGTCACCCTAACTAGATACACGTGCCATCACAAAATGTTAGAGCTGAAGGGAGACCATCTACTTTATGTGCAAAATGGACTTTGAAGAATCGTCTCCTCCATCTACAAAATTAAAATGTTTGGGGAGGGGTGCCTAGGTGGCTCAGTTGGTTAAGCATCAGACTCTTGATTTCAGCTCAGGTCATGATCTCACAGTCTGTGAGTTTGAGCCCCATGCTGGGCTCTCTGCTGACAGTGTGGGAGTCTTCCCTCTCCCTTTGGGATTTTCTCCCTCTCTCTGCCCCTCCCCTGTATGCCCTCTTTTTCTCTCTCTTTCAAAATAAAAATAAATAAAACTAAAAAAAAAACATTTGGGGAAACTGAGGCCAAAGGACAATAAAAATATTTTATTTCCGGATACTGGTTTTTTCCCACCACATTTTTCTTGAGTGTTTCCTCTGTGCCAGGGGCTGTGCTAGCCACACAGAATGAGAGTTTAATGAGAAAGGCTGACTGTATGTCTACCATCACAAAAACAGCTAGACTTCAGTGAGTGCTATAAGAAGAGAGAAGTACAATGTGCCACTGATGTCAGAAGTACGCAGGGCGCAGGGCAGGGGTGAGGCAGGAAGTTAAGCGTGGGAAGGAGTTAACTCAGCTTGGGAAGATGAACGAGGCTTCCCTGAGGAGGAGGAAATCTTTTAAGTAAGGGTGAAAGTGAGCAGGAGTTAACTGCAAAAGGTCAATGATGGCTACATGTGGAAGGGAAGCCCACACAAGCACTTTCAAGGAACTAAAAGCAGGGGTGGATTCTGGGAGCTAAGGGACAGGGACAACTGCAAAAGGTGAGGCCTGAAAGGCAGGGATGGGCCGGAGAGCACTGCACCTGGGAAGATCACGTGAAGATTCCTGGGCTTTATTCTAAGAACGATAGGCTTTGGACAGCATGTTCCAAGATACTCCAAGTCAGGACCATGGCTTACCTTGGGGGGAATGGGAGAAGCAATTTGAAATCAGAAAAAATTCTAGAAGTTTTATTTCAATTGAAACATAGTCTGTATCCCTAGCACACTTCCTGGAGTGTGTGTTCTCATCTGAAGTCATGTTGAAAAACGAAAGCATATGAACTTGTAAATACGGCCATTTGTAAATTGGGCCACTTGGCTTGGACAGGGGTTAGTGTATGTATATGAACGTCTCCGTACCTGCCAGCACTTAAGGGAGTATGGGCTTGTTTGACATTTTCTAAAAGCCCAATACTCCCTACAAGGACAATCCAACAAAAAAGCTCTATTTCACTGTCTGGCCACGAATTGGTGCTATACTTGAAGTTAAATCTTCATTTCCTTTCCCTTTCCCATAAAATCATTAGTAAGGGAAAATATTTTGAGAATATACTAACAAACAAAATCTTTCCAAGGTGTTGTCTTAATCCCAATTGCTTTCTGTTCTCATCTCGTCTACACCAGGTAATGAAGTTCAAAATGCACTCACAAATTTATTTCCTCTAAAATTATGTTTATATCAAGGATAAAATTTAAAGATGGTAGGGTGACCAAATTATTAATAAAAGAACAGGTGGAATTTTGGAGTGATTTCTCTGTTCAAGGTAATGTGCTGGACACCTGGAAATGGATTACCTCATTTAATCCTAATAAAGACTTTGAAAGATGCATCTATTTCACAGATAAGGAAACTGAGGCTTATTGTTTCCCTACAGTATACACACCCTACACTAGTGTTGTCCAATATGGTAGCCTGTAGCCACATGTGGTTGAAATATGGCCAGTCTGAATTAAGATGTGCTGTGAGTGTAAATTACAGACCAGATTAAAAAGGAAAAGATTTCTCAATTTTTGAATATTGGTTACACGTTAAAATGGCAATATTTTATATGGTGTGTTAAATAAAACACATTATTAAGATTAATTTTTATCTGCTGTATTTAAAAAAAAATAAGCTACTAGAAATTTTTAAATTACATGTGTGCCTCACATTCTACGTGTATTGAATGGTGCTGCCCCAGACCAAAAGCTGGATACTGACATCTGTCAGTAAATAACAAGTTCAAAGGCAGCCTGATATAGAAGAAAAGAGTACATGGATTCTAACAGATCTTGGTTTAAATCCCTCTATCAATGACGAGTCTTGGGTAAAACACCAAACATCTCTGCACTTCACCTTTGTCATTGGCATTATAGTGACATTACATATCCCCAAACAACTGTTGTATGTAATACGTAAAGCAGCTAGTAGGCAGGGGGGAGGGAACAATTACTGAATACTTCCTATAACAACTAGTTCATTTAAAAATGGATTCCCTACCAGAGTAGAAAAGGGAAGAGTTAAACAACTAGCACATTTAAGGCCTGCTTTAGCATAATATATGCATTATATACGGTACTGAGATATACATAATAGACACAGATTCCTTCTTTCTATGTAAGTTATTTATACTGTGTTGTAGGCTGGGAGGTCAGATGATAAAGTTAGGATGAGGTATAAAATGTCAGGGCACAGAAGGGCCCAAGGGGTCCTCATGGATACAATGGACAAATTCCAGGGAAAAGAGTTTATGAACTCTACCTCAGTTGATTCATGGTCTTTTTGCATCAAGAACTGAGACTAGTTAGTAAAATGACATCTGGGCAAGTAGAATTTTACCCTTTTCGTAGTGCAAATAAATAAATTGTCCCAGTATACCAAGTTTGGACTGGCCCACTATTAGTAATCTCCACTAAATCATAAGAAACTACAAAATCATGTGGACTAAACTGAGGATATTTTGCATATCCTGTCTCCTAGGCTTTTGTCAAGAAGTTTGTCCCTTGTATGTGACTTATTAATGTCTGAATTAAACGTATACATTTAAATGTAAAATATGGAGCAGCTGGGGCATTTACTTTAGTATTTGATATGTTTGTGGCTTAAGATTGACATGTGACAATGTATTAGACTGCCCTGTTCTGTACTGTTGTTTTTAGTAATATGGGGGGAGTACTAATTAAGGATTTGAGTCACTTCAGTGTAGTCCCGTTAAGTGTCAGACACCTATTAAATTTAGCATCCAAACTGTTCATTTGTTTTCTATAACAATTAACTTTAAGGAAATGAGACTGGAGAAGTAAAAAGCTATCAGAGTTGAAGATCTTAGAATAGCAAGCGAGGCCATGAAAATACTCACTTTATTCAAGTTTAAAACTTAACAGAAGAAATTAATATACAAAATTTTAGTTTAGCTATTAAAGTGCATGTGAAATGAGTTAAGAAGGGGTGGGGGACAGGGCTTCCCCTTTGACCTCATATGCCGCATAAAAATCCACACCTTGTAATGAATTTTTGAGTACCCACTGAATACACCTGACTTGGTCTTTGCTCTTTCAAAGTGACTACACTCTAAGTGACTTGTGATGTGATTGTATTTACAGTACACTGACAACTACCTTTCAGTAAATGTCTTCAAATCTGGAGCTATAGCTAGAATTAGGTAGGAAAAAAAATTACACCAAATCAATATTAGTAGCAATTATTAATAAGAGTCAGACAAAATAATGTGTAAGTGGTAATTAGAAAAATTTGCTAAAACTTTGAACTAAGACATTATTAACTTTCTGATGCTGGAGACTACAGGATAACATATAGTCAGTTAACTTAAGAGAAAACAAATACTCTAAACCATGTAAGCTACCAATCGTATTTTCAAAATGCATGTTTAAAAAAAGAGTTCATATTAAGAAATAGCTCACTTGCATTAACTTTAAATTAGCTAATACTTGAGTTACACCTTTGAAGAAACAAGTTTCTAGGAATACTTTTTTTTTTTCCTCTTGTGTTTTTCTTTTTTTCTTTTTTCTTTCTGAGGGGGTAAGGCCGTTGGATTTTTTTTTTAAAGTTAAGCCATATTCTTTAATGTGAATGGCATATTTGTGCTCCTATATGCTAATAACTCTCAATCTCAGTGAGCTGTTAGGAGGTCTTGAAAGTTTCATCTTAATTGCAGAGTTCATTTTCGTAAAACGCCTTGGCACCACTCGATCTTTGCAGAGACGAGAAAGGTCTCTGTCCTCTGGACTTGACATTTTTACCGTATATGCGTGAGCATTTTCTGCTGTCAAAAATCGCAAAGGTAGATTTTTTGTTGTTGCTCAATCTGAAAATGTCTCCACTATGCTTGCACAGCTCCCCTCTTCCCAGCACAGACCTACCCAACCCATCCCCTCTCTCCCCCTGCAAGTTTTAAACTTTGTTTCCTTTGGGGTTCTGCACAAGTGCTACTAACGATATCCAAGAGACAAAGAGCGGGGCTGTCGGCTCACGGGATGCCAAATTTGAGTTGTGAAACAAAGCACTCAAATTTGAGACTCAAGATGATGATGGTGGTGATGCTAGCAAAAAAACATTATTATAGAGCATGAGACCCCGGAGCCATCTCCCTAGACAGCTCCCCCTGCCCACCGCCACCCGGAGCACCGCGAAGCCCCCTGCGCGCCCCCGGGCCTCTCACCGCTTCACTCGGATGATCTGGTCCCGCATGGGCTTGATGTCCTGAAAGCTCTGCTGGTTGACGAGGCTGTAGACGAGGATGAAGCCCTGGCCATTCTTGATGTACAGGTCCCGCATGGACGCGAACTGCTCGGTGCCTGCCGTGTCCAGGATCTCCAGCACCGACGGCGACGAGTCCACCTCGATCTCCTTGCGGTAGAAGTCCTCGATGGTGGGGTCGTATTTCTCGATGAAGGTGCCGGTCACGAACTGCACGGTCAGGGCGGATTTGCCGACCCCGCCCGAGCCCAGCACCACCACTTTGTACTCGCGCATCGTCCCTCCGCGGCCGCCGCCGCCGCCGCCGCCCGCGACATAGACCTACGCCCGCCGCGCTGCGCCCCCGGACCCTGCGCCGGCGGCCGGCCCCGCCGCCTCCTGCGGCCGCCCCCACCTCACGGCCGCCGCGGCCCCCCGGGCGCCGGCGGAGGGAGCAGCAGCAGCCCTGGGCATGGGCCGAGCCGGGCGGCAATGCGGCCCGCGGGCGCCGGCGGGAACTGAGCAGGAGCCGCGAGCGGGAGCCGCCGGAGCCTCCGGAGCCGCCCGAGCCGCGGGCCCGCAGTGCCGCCCGCCAGCCCCGCCCCTCGCGCCTCCACGCCCAGCTCCCCGCCCGCCGCCGCCGCCGCCGCCGCCGCTTCCTCGGGAGCCGGAGCGCGCGCCCGAGCGGGAGCCGCAGCGCGGCCGGGGGCGGGGCCCGGCGGCACGAGGCGGGGCTCCGCGGCGCAGCCCCGCCCCTGCCCTCCGTCGCCTAGGCGACCGGCTGCGCGCGCTCCCGGGAGACTGCGCCGTGCGGAAGCCTTGGCTCGCGCTTGGATAAACAACCTCCTCTGCCACCCAACAACACCCTACCCCTCACGCCCCGTCGAACCCCCGGGCCTGCGTATTGGGCATGCGCAGTTCGTCTGCCTGAGCCGGGAACCTGGTCAACTTGAGACTCCCACGCTCGGCATTGGGGCGGAGGCAAGATGATAGCGGGGCCAGAGCAATCGGCAGGCTTTAACGTGAGGCGCAGAGTGAAAAGAAGAAACGGGCAAGGTCTAAAAGGACGGCTTCGTGAGGGGTTTTGCTGGACACCATCCAGCCTCTCAGTACTCCTGAGAGCTTTGGTGTTCCCTTGAATAAACATAAAGAGAGGCCTTTTTAGGAGGAAGCAGGTAAACACAACGAAGTGAAGCTTTGTTTTAAGCACCAGAACACCGAAGAAGATGCACGGGCCCCGCAGCCCGCTGCCCGAGGCGGCAAAGGCGAGTCCCAGGAAGCCGGGCCCACGCCCGGTGACGTCGCCGGGGTCCCGCCCACCGCCCCCAGCCCCGCCCTGCCCCAGCGCCGGACGGGTGTCGAGCTCTTCCCACGCCCTTTCGGCTACGGGCGCCTGGAAAACCGGGAGAACGGAGCTCCAAGCCGCAACAGAAGGCCCAGCGACACCTCATAGCAACAGCTAGCTGGCGCGCCTAGTAGGAAGCTGGGATTCTTTCCAGCCAACCAGATCGCGTTTCTCTACCCCCACGGTACCATTCTCGGCCAATAGAGAGCCGCTTCAGGCCACGTGACGTCCACGCGGCAGCCAATGGGGAGAACTCTAGTCGCAGGATCAACCCACTCACCTCCCCGCGCCGGGCCCGGCTGGGCGTTTGTCCGCGAGCACGCTCTGCCAGCCAATCGTAGGTGAGCTCACGAGTGACGGAGGCTCGATCTGAGCCAACCAGGATCCGCGGTTCCTTTGCCACCTAGGGCCCGTGGTATGGAGACGGGCCGCTGTGGGGTCCGGGAGGGGTCGGAGGCCGAGGGGCCGGTCGCCGTGCCCCGTGCTGGCAAGGAGCAAGGTGTGTTGCAGGCGACAGCGATGAATTCTGCGTTTAAAGTCGTCTCCTTGGCATTCTGCCTAAATGATGGGCTTGGAACTGGTGCTGAGGGATGTGGGCTGAGTCGTGGGCTGAATCCAGAAAACAGGGACTTTTGTCTTTAGGGTGAGAAATTTTCTGGTACTTGAGGAGACATACTGCAGCGGTTGGCATGGATCTTCCATGCGTGCCTCCTGAAACGTTTTCTGTTTTGTTTTGCTTTTTTCCTGACTACTCAGTTTTGAAACTAACCGTTAGGTCTTTGTAGCATTGTATGTTACACTCTCTCATACCCATAATGTTAAATTTAGGAGAAGTTATATTCCCAAATACTCCTGGATTAGATTTTGTAATAATGGGTTATTGGATTTACTTATTTAAACTATGCCCTTCTCCGAGTAGCCTACACCATCCGTTGCCAAATGACATTTCTCGGAGCAATAAATTTCTGCAGTTCTTATGTTTAATCATGGCATACCTCATCGCCCTTTCCCTTCCCCACAAGGTCATCATGTAGAGAGGATTTGGGTCTGAGTGCCTCGAAAAACTAGGTGTTCCTGTACCATCTTTTGTATCGATTATCAAACTACTGCAAAGTGTGGTTAGATTTAGTAGTGTTCTATTGCCCTGTCAGTCCATTATATTAGAATGAAGAACTTAGGTTTGCATTATCTTGCTATGTAGTATAACACATACCAAGTTTTGTCTTAAAATTAAGTGTGGGAAAGTGTCCCGTCAAAAAGTGTAATAAATATAACTCAGTCTTTATTTCATGATTACATATCGTCTAAATATGAGAGGTAATATCTGAGCCTATGGAATCAGCAGAGAAAGCAAATTGCAAAAGAACTAAGAATCAGAGGAATGTCTTAAGATCATCGAAACCATAGAGGATTCTAAACTAGTAGTGTGGGAAAGTGAATTAAAATGAAAGGAACTCACATGGATGCATTATATCTGAGCTTTTTGGGCAGGGCTATTTCAAGAAGATGTTGTGCATGAATACAGTGCGCACCTAGCTTTTTGCAAGTCTCATATTTTGTGTGAAACTTGAATGCTTTTTGAGATTACTTTAGCTTAGTAACAGCCACACTTCTTTTTTGAAGAAAGACAGACTGTCTCTTTAAGATCCAAATTGTGCATCATGGTGATAAGTTCCTAGGCTTTTTGAGAGTTAAATGGAGCTAAGAAGCATCAAACTTTATTTGTATAGAGCATTGCATCCTGTGCATTACCTTACATTAAAGAAGGGCTGAAAAATAATTTCTTTTGCAAGCAAATAAAAGTCCAGTGGCTTTTCTTTATTTTCTTCTTTTCTTTCCTTTTCTTTGCTTTTACTACCTCCTTCCTTCCTATTATTTTTTTTAGACATTTGCACTGGGATTGTGGATCTAGAATGTAATCTTAAAGCAGCTTTTCACTTCCCAGGTTGCTAGACGTTGAGAAGCTCTGGGTTGCCTTGCATCTGATAGAAGTTGTCACACACAAAAAATAGTGGGCTCCCTAGTCACTCCACTTAGCATAATAAAGAGTAGGAGAGCTTTTTGACATTTTTCAGGCTGTTTTCCTTGACCTTTCATTACTGCTGACTTTTCTTGATAAGGAGAAGTATACAGACTTGCAGCCCTTAGGGTGGTTACACCTCATTTATATTTCTCACATTGATATTTGATATTCATTCTTGATGAATTCATATTCATTTGATACTCATTCTCGATATTTATTCTCAATGTTGCCTTAAAGGCAGATTTTTGACTACTAAGAGGCAAAAGAAGCGTGATAAGTAGGGCACATTTCCTTTCCTGTTCTGTCTTATGTGATGGTACTTACCTAATTTGAGGCTGTATGTGAAATACTGGCTGAAGGATTAGCTGCCATAGGAAAGGATGTCAGAACGTGTAGAGAATTTTGAAGATTTGGTTTGGAGATGGGTATCTGTCTCCTGATTCCTTAGTCATGTTCATTTTTATGCCAGCATGAACTATCTATTCTGACAGTGATTTTAGAAATAAAAGCTTATGTCTCCATTCATTTGTTTGTGGGAAAGACAAAACAAAACTGAGATAAAATGAAATTGAATTTTCTCCAAGAGCTGTAAATCTGCATGGTAGTGAAAACACTATACACTGACACTTTAGGGTCTCTTTAGCTTCAGAAGGACATTGCTGGGAGAAAAAAAAAGGAAAAAGAAAAACTTCATTTCTCCCCACTAAATCTGAGAGTTCTCTCACCTATGCCCAGATACCCTCAACTGTCACACTTGTGTTACCATGGAAACCCAGCTTCTTCCTTTGCTTCTGTGAAAGATGTTGGAAAAGGTGGGATGAGGTGGGAGATACTCTGTGTTCTGGGACTTTCTGACTTGAGCAAGAAGCGAGTATGCAAAGAATTTAATATAAACAAGTTGGAAGAGGACGTCTGCAATCTTAGCGGTACTTCTTGTCTATAAAACCCTGACGCCTATTGCTTCCTATTAAAGCCTGCATATATGTGACTAACCATAAAGGGGAAGGGCAAGTCAAGTACATTTAGCACCTGGGAAATGCTGCTGGCAGTTATAAAGAGAGCAGAAGACATTTTCTTGGTCTCTGAGGCTCCGAATATAGTTGGGAGACAGAAGTATATATCAACAGTGGAAAGGAAGGAGCAAAAACAAAAATTGTTTCTTTTTTGAAAATGTGATAGGTTTCAGTGGTTTTGGAAAAGAATTGAAGGCCGAAATTAAGTGAGGATGTAAACAAGTCAATGAAAGAATCCTTTTGGTTGAGAAAGTGTTTCTGAAGGAAATGGCTTAATGATTAAGATATAAGAAATAAAAAGGAAAAGCCTGAAGAATCTTAAAAGCTTAAATGTTTGGAGGAAAATAGAGCCTCACTGTGGTTTATTTAACATGGCCAAAGAGTAAACACAATGTTGCTCTCATCCCAGCAGTTTCCCTTTCTTTTGGCTGAAAAATATGGGACAAAACAGGATTGATCATTAATGGCAGTCCTTTCGTCTCTAACCGATAGTCCAGAAGTAGGCACGTGACTCAGTTCTCGTCATTAGAACAGGAAGAAGCCACGGGGGCTGGGGGGTTCCTGGGATTCTGATAAGAATGAGGAGATACCCCCATTATTTTGATGTCCCTTCCCTTGCTTCCTGCCTTGCACATTGAAATAAGAGAATGTGGCCACCATCTTTGGGCCATGATGCCTCATGGCTGAGGTTGAAAATCAGCGAGCTCTGGGTAGCTAGGAAGGTTGGAAGGAACCCAGGCCCTGAAAGACAACATTGAACTGTCATGTCAAAACTGGAAATACCCACCTTTGAACTTATTAACTAAGTAAACAGCTAGCCTCCTTTGGTTTAAGTCTGTGTTAGTTAAAGTCTGTTATGTCTTCTCCATCTTGGAGTCAAATACGTCCCAACTGTTATAGGAAGTGTGAGAGTTTGAAGACAAAATGGTATTTAAAAAAAATCAGCTAGCACTTGTGAGCACTTTCATTCTATATATATCCTGAATGGTATTTCAAAGACATTAGACATTAATTGAGCACTTACTGTATATATTTTGTAGGCTCTGGGGATACAAAAATAGACAACTAGCCAAATGAACTTGTAGTTATAGACATTATAAACAGAAGAGACTGATATTAAATAATTGCACACTTACATTTATTATATAATATTATATAATATGCAGCATATTATATAATATTATATAATAT